TGCCGACCCCTACAGTTATTGCCAGCATTATGTTGTTCTGCTGCAAAGGAGCATGTCATGAACACATTAAAGTGTGGATCACAAACACACTCCTGAGCAGAAGTAATCAGCACTATTCTAACCAGTACACTTTATTTATATAGCACATGTATAACAAACAGTTCTCAAAGTGCGGCCAGAAACAAGACAAAAAATACAGTTTTTTTTCAAATAAACCTTTTATTATTATTGTGAAAGGTAGTTTACAGTATTCTTGCATTCAGGTCATAGTCGCACAAAAATAATAATGATAAATCAATAACTAAAAACAATGACAGATAAAAGATACAGAAAAAAATACACATACTGTATATATATATATATATACATGTTTTTTTTTAATATATATATATATATACAGTGGGGGAAAAAAGTATTTAGTCAGCCACCGATTGTGCCAGTCCTCCCACTTAAAATAATGACAGAGGTCTGTAATGTTCATCATAGGTTCACTTCAACTGTGAGAGACAGAATGTGGAAAAATAATCCAGGAATTCACATTGTAGGATTTTTAAAGAATTTATTTGTAAATGATGGTGGAAAATAAGTATTTGGTCACTTCAAACAAGGAAGATCTGTGGCTCTCACAGACCTGTAACTTCTTCTTTAAGAAGCTCTTCTGTCCTCCACTCGTTACCTGTATTAATGGCACCTGTTTGAACTCGTCTGTATAAAAGACACCTGTCCACAGCCTCAAACAGTTAGACTCCAAACTCCACTATGGCCAATACCAAAGAGCTGTCCAAGGACACCAGGAAAAGAATTGTAGACCTGCACCAGACTGGGAAGAGTGAATCTACAATAGGCAAGCAGCTTGGTGTGAACAAATCAATTGTGGGAGCAATTATTAGAAAATGGAAGACATACAAGACCACTGATAATCTCCCTCCATCTGGGGCTCCACGCAAGATCTCATCCCGTGGGGTCACAATGATCATGAGAATGGTGATCAAAAATCCCAGAAGCACACGGGGGGACCTGGTGAATGACCTGCAGAGAGCTGGGACCAAAGTAACAAAGGTTACCATCAGTAACACACTACGACGACAGGGAATCAGATCCTGCAGTGCCAGACGTGTCCCCCTGCTGAAGCTAGTGCATGTCCAGGCCCGTCTGAAGTTTGCCAGAGAGCACATGGATGATACAGCAGAGCATTGGGAGAATGTCATGTGGTCAGATGAAACCAAAGTACAACTGTTTGGTATAAACTCAACTCGTCGTGTTTGGAGGAAGAAGAATACTGAGTTACATCCCAAGAACACCATACCTACTGTGAAGCATGGGGGTGGAAACGTCATGCTTTGGGGCTGTTTTTCTGCTAAGGGGACAGGACGACTGATCCGTGTTAAGGAAAGAATGAACGGGGCCATATATCGTGAGATTTTGAGCCAAAACCCCCTTCCATCAATGAGAGCTTTGAAGATGAAACGTGGCTGGGTCTTCCAGCATGACAATGATCCCAAACACACCGCCCGGGCAACGAAGGAGTGGCTCCGTAAGAAGCATTTGAAAGTCCTGGAGTGGCCTCGCCAGTCTCCAGACCTCAACCCCATTGAACATCTGTGTTCACTGCTCTCGAGAAGATCTGCATGGAGGAATGGGCCAAAATACCAGCTACTGTGTGTGCAAACCTGGTAAAGACCTATAGTAATCGTTTGACCTCTGTAATTGACAACAAAGGTTATATTACAAAGTATTGAGTTGATTTTTTATTATTGACCAAATACTTATTTTCCACCATAATTTACAAATAAATTCTTTAAAAATCCTACAATGTGAATTCCTGGATTTTTTTTTCACATTCTGTCTTTCACAGTTGAAGTGTACCCATGATGAACATTACAGACCTCTGTCATTATTTTAAGTGGGAGAACTTGCACAATCAGAGGCTGACTAAATACTTTTTTGCCCAACTGTATATATACACATAAACCTAGATAATAAATGATAAGAATAGGAGTTAAAATGGAGTAGGTAGTAAAACTTATATAAAACCTCCCACATTCTGAAACACAACACATCTGACCAATAACTTAAAATGCATTTTCTCATGAGTGGGCTCGCCTTTCCGGAGACCTGGCAACAGCAGCAGCTCAAAAACACCCACTGATCAAAAACACAAACCATCTTTTCTCTCATCTCGGTCTGATCTCTTCTTCTCTGCACCTGCCTCAGCTGCCACTCGCTGACCCCCCCTTGTGTTTAATTGCCATAATGTTGTCGATGCGTCTATTTGTGATTCTCCGGAGATTGTGGTTGGATGTTTCGCTCTCCCACCTCCTCCCCCACTGCTCTGTGACTGTGGAAATATGGCTTCTTCTTCTTCTTCTTCTTCTTCTGCGTCTCCTCCTCCTCCCTATGGTACACCATGGTATACCATGTGGTCTCTCTCTATGGACCAATACCATGTGGTCTCTCTCTATGGACCAATACCATGTGGTCTCTCTCTATGGACCAATACCATGTGGTCTCTCCTTATGCTCTGAAAAATAAGAATGTTTTACTGGACCTCGTTCCACTAAAACTCTGAATAAAATAAGATTTCACTGTCAACAAATGACCTGAGGGTTAGGGTTTCTTTACGTTCTGTTTTTCAGTGTTCAGCCTCAGAAGCTGCTCGCCAACAAGGGAAGAGATGATCATGATGCCTTCAGTCTGCTCCTGGACCAGACAGAACCTGGAGCAGACAGAACCTGGACCAGACAGAACCTGAGTTAGGTCCAATGTTCTCTCAGTTATTATTATTTTCTGAAGTGTGCGGGTTCCAAAGCTCGGTGAAGCTAGAGGGAGGAAAAACACATGTACTTTACAAACCCGCCGTGCAGAGACTGTGGGCCACGTAACCATGATGCCCCGGTCAAAGCTTTAGAGCAGGAGTCCTCAACCTTTGTCAATCAGAGAGCTACTTTTATTCTTAACAAATATTTCTCAAAAGAGTCTTGATTTCAAGCATTTTTGGAAAGAAAAACAGAAGAAATTGCTGTGTTTCATTGGGGTGGCCTGCAGGGGGCGCTTATCTGGGAAAGCCTTGATCCACCTCCGCCTCATTCCAGTGGTTTTTTCAAAGTGTCCTCCTTTATATGAGACCACAGGTGGAACATGAACAAACTCTGGTCTTTCTCTTTGTGCGGTTGCTACAAACGTACACCGCACACAAAGATGGTGTTTTGACTTCTTCTTCTACTATATCTCTGTGTATAAACCCGGCGGACTGCAGTGCCAGGATACGTCACGTCCTGTCCTACGTTTGTTATTCACACCACTGCCCTGACGTCAGATGAAACCCAAGAATACAACAGAAGAGGCAGAGAGCTTCTCCTTTTTACAGTCGTTATAAAAATCTATGTAATAATTAAGACAAAACACGGAAGAACACACCTAAAATATACCATAATACTTATTATAGACGTAAGATCATGTGTTGAATTATAAATCCTTTAGGGAGCTACCTGAGAGGGGCTGGAGAGCTACTGGTTGGAGAGCCCAGCTGTAGAGAAGTGTAGCTAGTAGTGAGCTAGTAAACAATTTAGGGCTATACAAAACAGATTTTTAGGGTGGTACGATGGTGATTGCACTCTCGCTTCTCAACAAGAATATCCTGGAGTTTGTATGTTCTTCCCGTGTCTGCAAAGGTTTTCTCTGTGTGCTCTGAATACACCTACCCCTAAAAACACTGCTCCGGTCACTGGGCGCTAGTGCGATGGCAGGACGGGTCAAATGCAGAGGACAGAGTTCCCCATGGAGATAAAAATAAGTGATTTCCTTTAATGTTTTGGTTGTGCACTGCTCTCTGGTATCAGGCCTTAACCACAGACAGACTGTGACCCAGGCTCAGTATAAAGTCTGTCCAGGTGAAGTGTGCAGACCCTCCAGACCCTCCAGACCCACTGCCTCCAGACCCTCCAGACCCTCCAGACCCTCCAGACCCTCCAGACCCACTGCCTCCAGACCCTCCAGACCCTCCAGACCCTCCAGACCCTCCAGACCCACTGCCTCCAGACCCTCCAGACCCACTGCCTCCAGACCCTCCAGACCCTCCAGACCCACTGCCTCCAGACCCTCCAGACCCACTGCCTCCATCTTTCTTTGTGCTGTGAAAAAACCTTTCATGATAATGTCCCGTTATTGTTGCTGGTGGTGTCTGTGCACGAAAAGCCGTAATTGAATGCGGCTTGATTGAACAATTAACTCCTGATTGTGAAAACGGATGCTCCTCTACACACGTACAGTATGTATATAAACGCTCTTCTAGTATGAGCCGACTCTAGTTCTGTCTTTACCTCGGTTTGGTCCTGAGTCCACAGACCTAGTCCAGGTTTGACTACAGGGTCTGTTGCTCTCCTACTGTACTGCTGCATATTTCCCCAAACCTCATGCATCACCATCATCCCTCTCCTCTGCTCTGTACGTGATCCATTCTGTGCACAACCAAGGCTTCTTGCAGCTTGCAGACTTCAAACATCAAAGCTCTTCGCTGCAGGGATGGAGCGAGAGGGGGAGAGGGAGAGAGAGGGGGAGAGGGAGAGAGAGGGGGAGAGGGAGAGAGAGGAGAGGGAGAGAGAGGAGAGGGAGAGAGAGGAGAGGGAGAGAGGGAGAGGGAGAGGGAGGAGAGGGAGAGAGAGGAGAGGGAGAGAGAGAGGGAGAGAGGAGGAGAGGGAGAGAGAGAGAGGGAGAGGGAGGAGAGGGAGAGAGAGAGAGAGAGGAGAGGGAGAGAGAGGAGAGAGGAGAGGATGGCGGAGGGGGGTGGGTTGGTGCCGAGGAGGAGACTAGAGCCGCAAATGAACGCAATGTAAAAACGGTTGGGAGGGGTGCACGCTAGTATCCAGGCTGTGGGAGAGATGAGCAGGTTTGAATGGGTGTAAGAGGGAGACCCACTGGAACAGAGAGAGAGAGAGAGAGCGAGAGAGAGACTGAGGAGGAGAGGAGAGACCACAGCCACTGCTTCTATCGGGGGAAGGTGCATGGATGCTGTGATCGTGTGCAGCTCTGGACCTGCTGAGATCCTAAAGCCACGACAGTGAGAAGCACAGCGGAAACTAAACCGTCTCATCAGGGATCTTGTTCTGCAGCCTGCTGTCCGTCACCTGCTGTCCGTCACCTGCTGTCCGTCACCTGCTGTCCGTCACCTGCTGTCCGTCACCTGCTGTCCGTCACCTGCTGTCCGTCACCTGCTGTCCGTCACCTGCTGTCCGTCACCTGCTGTCCGGACTCCCTCGGCTTTTTGTAGCTGTTTGCAGCAGGATTTCTCCAGGGACTGCACAGAACAGTGAGTGTAGTCTTCCCTATTGGCGTTGTGTGATTCCAGCGTGTGTGTGTGTGTACATGTGTGTGTGTGTGTGTGTGTGTGTGCGTCGAATGGGAGAGGTGTAAGTTTACTGCAATGATCTGAACATGGCTTTCTCTGGAGCTAGATTTGAATCATTCACGGCACAAATAGTGTAAATATTGTTGTGTTTTTGCTTTTTGTGGACGTCTGAAAGTGAGGAATGTGTTGGACTGAGGGTTAAAAGGTTTGCATTCAGCTGACTCTCTCTACAGAACATCTACAGAACATCTACAGAACATCTACAGAACATCTACAGAACATTTCTCTACAGAACATCTCTCTACAGAACATTTCTCTACAGAACATCTACAGAACATTTCTCTACAGAACATCTCTCTACAGAACATCTCTCTACAGAACATCTCTCTACAGAACATCTCTCTACAGAACATCTCTCTACAGAACATCTCTCTACAGAACATCTCTCTACAGAACATTTCTCTACAGAACATTTCTCTACAGAACATTTCTCTACAGAACATCTCTCTACAGAACATCTACAGAACATTTCTCTACAGAACATCTCTCTACAGAACATCTCTCTACAGAACATCTCTCTACAGAACATCTCTCTACAGAACATCTCTCTACAGAACATCTCTCTACAGAACATCTCTCTACAGAACATCTCTCTACAGAACATTTCTCTACAGAACATCTCTCTACAGAACATCTCTCTACAGAACATCTCTCTACAGAACATCTCTCTACAGAACATTTCTCTACAGAACATCTCTCTACAGAACATCTCTCTACAGAACATCTACAGAACATCTACAGAACATTTCTCTACAGAACATCTCTCTACAGAACATTTCTCTACAGAACATTTCTCTACAGAACATTTCTCTACAGAACATTTCTCTACAGAACATCTCTCTACAGAACATCTACAGAACATTTCTCTACAGAACATTTCTCTACAGAACATCTCTCTACAGAACATTTCTCTACAGAACATTTCTCTACAGAACATCTCTCTACAGAACATTTCTCTACAGAACATTTCTCTACAGAACATCTCTCTACAGAACATTTCTCTACAGAACATCTCTCTACAGAACATTTCTCTACAGAACATCTCTCTACAGAACATTTCTCTACAGAACATCTCTCTACAGAACATTTCTCTACAGAACATCTCTCTACAGAACATTTCTCTAAAGAACATTTCTCTACAGAACATCTCTCTACAGAACATCTCTCTACAGAACATCTCTCTACAGAACATCTCTCTACAGAACATCTCTCTACAGAACATTTCTCTACAGAACATCTCTCTACAGAACATTTCTCTACAGAACATCTCTCTACAGAACATTTCTCTACAGAACATTTCTCTACAGAACATTTCTCTACAGAACATCTCTCTACAGAACATTTCTCTACAGTATTTGTGTCCAGGAAGGACCACAAACGTTATGTCTCTGGGTTTGATTGATCTGTGAAGAAATCTGCTCAAAATTATTTTACATTAAGACAATTTCTGTGTCTGTACATATTAATCTGTACATATTTGTACATATATCTATAACAGACACATTCATGTTTGGAAAGGAGGTGTTGTTTTCTAGATTCCAGAGAACGGAGATTGTGAAATGTGGATTCTGTAGATTCAGGCAAATCAGCTGAGTTTGTGGATTTATTGTTTTGTGTAAGAATTATCTTTAAATCCAGGCTTCTATCGTCAACATGGAGAGATCCTAACCCAATGTGCAGACCTGAATAAAAAAGAGAAATGCTCTGAGACGATTCGCTGCAACTCTTTGAACCGTGACTGTTTTTAAAAGTCTGTAAATTGTATAAAATGCCGTGTGGAGATTTTCGGAGGTGTTAGCTCATCCTTTGGATCGGTTGAGGACCGGTTTCAGAGGGATATGGGTCAAAGTGTTATTCCCGCTGTGGACGTCACAAACCCTCAGTTTTCTGCTTGATTGACACTTTTCGTATTGGTTTATAATTCATGCTCCACATTAGAGTGAAGTCCATCGCCTCATTCTTCCTCACGTCACTCTGCTCCTTCAGGACTCAAACTCTGCCACTTTAGTACAGAGCAGAAGTTTATTTGTATGGCACAGTTGACACAGGAGCTAACTCAAAGTGCTGAACAGGAGATAAAACACAAACATTAAAATCATAGATAATAAACACAAACCTCATATTGTCTGGAATAGAAGATACGGATTTTACTTTTCACAGATTTGGATTTTGACAGTTTTGCTTGAGTTCGATAAAACTTTGCGGATCACAAAATGGAGAAATGTTATGTTACATTCAGGAAGTGTGACAATGGTTAAAAAGTGAAAAGATTTATCTTGTTTATAATAGAAGTAAATTCATATTTTGTACAATTTCCAAAAGTGGCAGTGCTGAGTGTTAAGTCCAAATGCAGGTCGTCATTGAGTGACTCGTTGTACAGTCTGACAGTGTGGAGGAAGACATGGCCAACACTTCATGTTCCATATTCTTCTTTTCTGAATCAGTGAAACACGGACGATGCAGCAGCGTTGTGCCGCACAATCACCGTCTGCAAACAGAGACTAAGGGAAAAGAGTGACATTTAACAGAGAAATACACAGAACTTATCGTACAATGACATCATACTAGATAGATAGACGGGGCGGAGTTACATCTGAAGCTAAGCAGGGCAGGGTATGGTTAGTGCGGTGATGGGAGACCTCTGGGAACACCAGGGTGTTAGAGTGAGTCTGGTGTGTGTGTGAGTGGTTGGTGGTGGTGGGAGGGGCTCCTGTCAGTGTGCCCCAGGGCAGCTGTGGCTACAGTAGTTTATCACCTGTGTTTGGAGAGAGAGGGTATGTGAAGAGACTTTGAGTGACAGGGAATGTCCACAGTCGGTGTTACAGAGTGTACGCGGTGACTGTGCCGTGAGCTGGTCCTTCTGATGCTGTCCCTGTGCAGTCTGTGGAGCAGTGCAGAGGACTATGTAGAGCAACACCATCACATGTGTTTGTCTTCATGGTCTCTGTTGCTGGTCTGACCAGACACAAGACTTTATGAAAGAAAAAAAAAACGATGTCTGTCTGTCTGTGTGTCTGTCTGTGTGTCTGTGTCTGTGTGTCTGTGTGTGTGTGTGTGTGTCTGTCTGTGTGTCTGTGTGTCTGTCTGTGTGTCTGTGTGTGTGTGTGTGTGTGTGTGTGTGTCTGTGTGTGTGTGTGTGTGTGTGTGTGTGTGTGTGTGTGTGTGTGTGTGTGTGTGTGTGTGTGTGTGTGTGTCTGTGTGTGTGTGTGTGTGTGTGTGTGTGTGTGTCTGTCTGTGTGTCTGTGTGTGTGTGTGTGTGTGTGTGTGTGTGTGTCTGTGTGTGTGTGTGTGTGTGTGTGTGTGTGTGTGTGTGTGTGTGTGTGTGTGTGTGTGTGTGTGTGTGTGTGTGTGTGTCTGTGTGTGTGTGTGTGTCTGTGTGTGTGTGTGTGTGTGTGTGTGTGTGTGTGTGTGTGTGTGTGTCTGTCTGTGTGTGTGTGTGTGTGTGTGTGTGTGTGTGTGTGTGTGTGTGTCTGTGTGTGTGTGTGTGTGTGTGTCTGTGTGTGTGTGTGTGTGTGTGTGTTACGTGCGTCTGCTGCACGTATAACGCGTACGTGCTGTAGCGCCTCCTGTGGACATTGGCAGTCATGTACAAAAACCAAAGCATTATTTTTATATGTTGCGCGTGGATGGATCTAAAGGCAACTCAGCAAAAAAAGTACATTTGCATAATATGTCTGGGGGTGGACCTGGAATAAGAATTAGCCAATGCTAACATATAGCATCTTCTGACCTCTCGCAAACGTCTTTACAGGATGGACCAAAAGTGTCTCTTGGCCCAAAGCTCCGGTCCACATGTGTGTCAATGCTGAGTGTTCTGGACCAGTCTAGTTTAGTCGCTGTGGACTTTAGAAGTCTCTCGTTTAAATGAATGGAGCTGCGCCGGCTGACGCATGCACAGATCCGTTTTTTCACAATTTTCTTGTGGGCGGGACCACTCGCGGCCATTTTGGATAGCTCCAGTAGAGCACATTTTTAGGAGATAGGCGTGACTCTGTCCATTTATATTTACAGGCTATGGTTAAATACCGCTGTTGTCCAAAGTTGTCCAAAGCTCAGTTTGTAAGAAAAAGGCGACACGGGGTTTTTTGGTCAATTCTCAGTTTTTATGCGCAGTCGGATTGAAGCCACAGAAGCGTGTTGTGTCGTCTTTTGAATCAAAGTCTTTCAGTTCCTTTGACAAACTAAATTCTTCTTCAACAGCAAATTGCACCAGTCTTTGTGCAGAGGAAGAACGACTTGATTCCGTCAAAACACTTCGTTTTGAGTTTCAGTCCCAGCGTTGATGTGAGAGTCAGATCTGTAGCATCACTCTCACTGCGGGTGTCAGAGGAACGTGACATGTTGTGAATCTGTCGCCTTCAGACAGTTTACACACGTCCTGGAAACAACGTAGATCCCTCACGTTAGCTCCAAGGCTAACCATGTGTAGCCGTGGGACAGAGTCGTAATGATTCTGGTTTCACCATTTCTGAAGGGAAGGACTGAGGGCAATGGGGAGACCAGAGAGAGACCAGAGAGAGACCAGAGAGAGAGACCAGAGACCAGAGAGAGACCAGAGAGAGACCAGAGAGAGACCAGAGAGAGAGACCAGAGACCAGAGAGAGACCAGAGAGAGACTAGAGAGAGAGACTAGAGAGAGAGACCAGAGAGAGACCAGAGAGAGACCAGAGAGAGACCAGAGAGAGACCAGAGAGAGAGACCAGAGACCAGAGAGAGACCAGAGAGAGAGACCAGAGAGACTAGAGAGACTAGAGAGAGACTAGAGAGAGAGACTAGAGAGAGAGACTAGAGAGAGAGACCAGAGAGAGAGACCAGAGAGAGACCAGAGAGAGAGACCAGAGACCAGAGAGAGACCAGAGAGAGACCAGAGAGAGACCAGAGAGAGAGACCAGAGACCAGAG